GTAAAGGAGGCACTTGCTGGTAACTAAAAAATGATGCATGGTCCCCGGGGTGCTACCACCCCAAGCCTCTCTCACCCCAGTGTGCTACAGTCGAATCAGCCCCGGCAAGAAAACCTTGGAACACAGGGCCGGAGACCAATCATATACTGGAAAGGCCATGGAGATGCAAAGTCACCTATGATGCTCCAAAGAAATGAGACCACAAATGATGTCCTGTCAGTGCTGTCATGTGCCCAGATCTTTCTGACACCTTTTTGAGATTCCTTATAGGGAGTTGTGGAATAACCAGATGTAAGTAGTATTATCTTCTTCATATTTTAGGGATGGTGGAAATGAGGCCCAGAGAAATTCATAAGCTGCCTAAGGCCTGGAGACCAGATATAAACTATAGCATTCTGACTTCCAAGTCCACATTGTCCTGACAGTGGCACTGTTTTTCCTTTCATGAAATTTCCAGAAGGAGAAACATTCAAAAGAAGGGAACGAATAAACCTAGGGCAATGATTATGTCAGTCAGATTGTTCCAACTGCATATTTTTGTTTTTCTATTTTTATAACAATCAAAAGATGTTTTGAACAATAGTTTAAACAATTTCTTTCTACATCACTGATGTGTAATTTCTGCATAAATTTAGGAATAAATTGTAGGGTCCATTCAGCATAAGTTATTTCAAGAGTCAAAAAAGTTCACAAAATGTTGGAGTTGGAATAATTTAAATTCATTCATTTTACAGATGGGGAACCTGAGGCTAGAGATGTGAGGAAATTTGGTGTTAGCTAAATTGTTAGGGAGAACTGGATGTGCAGTGGTTCTCAAACCTGGCTGCAGACTAGAAACACTTGGGAAGTTAAACCCATGCTCATGGGCTGCACCCCAGATCAATTCAATCAGAATATCTGGGGATGGTGCTATGTCCCAGCCTCTTGGTTGAGAATCACTGGTGCAAAGAACAGACCAACGCTCTGAAATATTCGGTCTGTCACTTCCTAGCTCTACACCTTGGGTTTTCCCTTCTGCAAGATGAAGATATTACTTCATCTAGTCCAACAGGCTTAGTGAAAGATTCAGATACCATTTAATTACTATTTATATATAAAAATTATAAGCAATCCAAATAGATTGGCTAAAAACTACAGAATCTTCACATGATTGAATTTTATGCAGCTATTAAAAATAAAGTTTTTTAAAACTTTGTAAAAACATAGGATAATGTTTATGCCTAATGCTTAGTGCAAAAAGCAAGATAAAAAACTATGTGCATGGTATTTTTAAAAATCTGGTGAAAAGTACATACGGTAAAAACTGGAAAGAAATACATCAACATTTAACTAGAAAAGGCTACATATTATATAATTCCAATTATATAAATTCTGGAAAAGGCAAATCTATGGAAACAGTAAAAAAAAAAAAAAAAAAAAATCAGTTGTTTCCAGGTGTTAGGGGGAGGGAAAGATGAGTAGGCAATTCACAGAGGAGTTTTAGGTCAGTAAAACTACTGTCCATGGCACTATAATGTTATACATTTGTCCAAACCCACAGAATGTACAACCAAGAGTGAGCCCTAAGGTAAACTGTGGACTCTGGATGATAAAGATGTGTCACTGTAGGTTCATTAATGTAACGTATGTTAACCCAGCACCTTCTAGTGCTGGATATTGATAGTGGAGGAGGTTTATGCCTATGTGAGGGGAAGGGGGTATATGAGAAATTTCTAAACTTCCTACTCAGTTTTGCTATAAATCTAAAACTGCTCTAAAAGATAAAGTTTATTAACGTACAAAATTAACTTGAGCCATATTGGCCAGCACCACTACAGCTGATTTATTTCTTCCTGCAATTCAAACAAACAACAAACAAAGGGCATAAGTTCAAGAGGAATGAATGCCACCAAAATATTGGGCATGTCCTATCTGAGGCATGCTTGTGAGTTTCCTTTTTAAGTGGGAAAATATTAGTCCTGAAAGTAGAAAGATTATACTTTGCTCAGAAGATCAATATGGGCAGTTGTACTCACCATCCTTGCAAATGGCTCCCATTTGACACATTCCTAAGTCTAAGAGATACCCACTGGGGCAGCTTGTACAGTTCTTAAATCCTGGGCCATTGCACGTCAAACAACTGGTATCACATCTATGAGAAAAATGTACCAATTTTAATCCATTCACACATGCACAGAGGAGGGTGTGTTTATTAGCGACCTCATAATATCTTTAATTATCCCTCTGAAAATGACACAAAAATCTTTTCTCACAAAAATTTGATGACACAGGTAGACACTGTGATTTTAACAGGTATGGAGCATGTACTTAAAATTGAAATATTAGTTTAAAGGTTTTAAGGTGCTCCCGAGGCAAAGGAGGAAAAATGTCAAAGATAAGCTGGGTTAAAGCTTTAGATCAGTGCCCACAGGTACATGTTTAAACCTAGTGTTTTGACATATTCTAAGTTTTCTTATTTTCTTATGAAGAATTTAGGTCTAAAGCGGCAGGGCCCCTTAGGGCCGAGGGGGCAGATCCACTTACTTTTTGCAGGATTTGTATCCGTTCTCTGAAGAGTGGTCAAGGTAATAGCTGATACTGCAGCTCTGCACGCATCTCCCATCCTCCATGAAGTAGCCCTCTGTGCAGTTAATGCATCCATCAGCTCCTGCTCCTTAAAAGCAAGACAAACACAGGAAATGAGAAAGCCTTCGTGGATTCTTCTTTAATAGTTTGATAAAATGCCATCAATCCGCTATAATTTTAAGATTAACAATTTACTATTCATGCTTTTTCTTAATTTCCTTGGGAAAAAAGCCTTCCCAGTTAAAATGGAACCTCTTGTCAAAAACATCGGCTCTCTTTTGAAAGAGGAGATCTCACTGGCCGTGTAGGTTTCTCAACAAGGAGAGGATGCTGGTGATTGCTTGACTTTCAATGGGATTACATGCACAATTATCAAAGAGAAAGGCACTTCTCCAGCATTACTTTAAAAATATCAAGTGGGTTGTATGAGTGACAGCTAAAACCAGAAAGAAAAGCAAAACCAGAACCGGGAGAATGAAGAAAAGGACTAGGGAAGGTACCAGCACAAGTGGCGCAGAAGCGGTGGCAGGGCTGGCAGTTCTGGCCATTGAAGTATCGTCCATCTTCACAGGAGACAGAACACCGGGATCCCTGCAGGCTGGAAGAAGTAAAAAGGGAGCTTGAAACAGACTGTTGTGATCATGCCAAAGCGTAATGACTCCCCAAACTCCATATGTAACAGATGCAGTTTCCCTCAGAGGCCAGTGGATTTGGCAAAGCTTCAAAGCAGGGGAAATAGCCCATGTGCCCTCTTTTTTTCCCCTCCCAATGCTTATAATGCTTCTCTGTGCCTCCAATGATGTCTGCAGCATGCACACGTGCTGCTAGGCTTTTGGGACATTCTCCTTAATTTGTTAGACTAATGAGCACACTCCTGCTTTGCGCCATGTCTTAAGACTCAGAGCTTTTAAAAAGTATTTGATTGACAAAACAATCACACTGTCTGACAATATGCCTAACAATTTAATATCCAGACTTACTACATAATAAAGAGTTATTTCATGACTACAAATGCAATACAAACACATTGTAAAACGAATTATGACTGAATAAAAGTGTACAACCATCCTGTCCAACCCAAAGCTCAAACTCTCTGGAGTAGCCGTTCTGATTTTAAATGTTTCTGATTTTAGTCTTCTGTGGGTTCTCATCAAAGTAAGATTTAAAATACTTTTGCCTCTTTTCTTGATTTATTCATTTTTAAACACTCTAATGAAAAATTTATCAAAACTATGTAACTGTACTGCTGTTTCCCCAGTCATCTTGATTTTTCTTTGTTGTATTATTATTTAGTATTTCTGGGAGTTATCTACATCATATTAAATAATCTATCTAAATTTCTATTTATCTAGCAATATGAGATAGTATCTAATGAGTTGTCAGAATGTCAAATGAGAAATGCATATTTTTCTCTCCTAATTTATGTCAGCTATCATATTTTTCATAGTCTATAGGTTGATTCTTAAAATTGAAAATGAATACAAAAAATTTACTATATTTGTCTGGGCATGGTGCTTATATCTGTAATCCCAGCACTTTGGGAGGCCACGGTGGGCAGATCACTTGAGGCCAGGAGTTTGAGACCAGCCTGGGGAACACAGTCAGGCCCCATCTCTACAAAGCCTTAAAAAAAAAAAAAAAATGGGGGAAAAAATAGCCAGGCATGATGGTGCCTGCCTACAGTCCCAGCTACTGTACTCAGAAGGCTAAGACCAGAGGATCACTTGAGTGAACTATGAACAAGCCGCTGCACTCTAGCTTGGGTGACAGAGCAAGACTCTCTTAAAAAAATTACAATATTTAACATAGAAATATTACGGAATAGTGTGATTGGAAATGTAGTGAGAAAATGTGATCCTATGTTACCACATCAATGAGACTAGAAGGTGAGTAAACAGGGGTAAATGGTTTCTCATTGTCTTAAACTCTTTGTATTGCTCCAGTTGATATTTGACTGCTTTGTATGTGGATAATACTAATTAAAAAAAATTAAAATTTACTTTTCTCTATGCTCTTAAAAAAATTTAGAAAGTACAAAAACAAAGTTGAAGAAAAGAGAATCCTGAATAGTCCCCGTTAGCATTTTAATTTATTTCCTTCCTGGATTTTGTGCATTGATATATTTTTTCCCTGTTTGTTCTTCGCCACTATTTAAAAATTTACAAGTCTCTTGAGGCAAAATGGTCAACCCTAGAAGCCCTTAGAAAAATGCAAGGGGCCTCAAGGAGACTAAGGGCAGCTAACTAAAAGTGGATTTCATTCACAGATCTCCTCACTGGCCAGAGAGAGCGCGCTGTCATTTAAAAAGTCAAAAGAAAACCTTTCTGTAGCACTAGAAAAAAGGATGTTGCCTTAAATGGATCCATTTGAGAGGTATAAGGACAACCAGAACACTTATCAAAGTTAAAAAAACTGCCTTTTTTTCTAATACAGGACAGCACTTTCTAGTGAGGTTGGCATCTGTTCAGCAGGACACAGAGGCTGCACTGTGTGGAGAAGGAATGAGCTCAGAAGAATGTGTAACAGACAGCAGACACCAACCCTGAAGCTTTCTGCTGCATCCAAAATACAGGTACTGTGAGGCTAACGCACCTGGTATTGTGAACACCTCTGTTCTCTCCATGATAAACTGGTGAGGTTAGATCTGTGCTCTCCAACATAATCTGGCACACGTGGCTACTGATCCCTTGAAAAGTGGCTAATAAGGCTAAGGAACAGAATTTTAAATTTTACTTAATTTTAACTAAGATAAATGTGAAAAATTGGCACTTGATTCCACTATTGGCCAAAATTTGGGTAAGTCTGGAGCAACTCGGCTATATACAATTTTCTTTTTCAACTATAAAACCTAACTAAAGATCAAATATTTCTCATAAAAACAGTTTTGTCTGAATTTAGATGTGTTTTAAGAGTAAAATACCTATCATATTTTGAAGACAGTACAATGAAAAAGAATGAAAAACATCTGATAAGTTTTTTATATTGTTGAAATGATAATATTTTAGACATATTAGGGGAATTCAATATTTTATTAAACTCCATTTCCCCTGTATCTTTTTACTTCTCTTAACGTGGTTACTGGCATATTTAAAATTACATGTATGGCTCTCATGTTTCTATTGGCATGCACTGGCTTAACACCCTAGAAAATGTTCCCTAAGAAATAATTTAAATCATCTTTTATTTCTCATGAACCAATTATGTGCTAGAATAGGTATTTTATAAATGCTATCACAGTTAACCTTTGTCATAATCCAGCAAAACAGGGATTATCATCATTTTATAGAGGAGAAAATGAAGGCTCGGAGTAGTTGAGTGATTTGCCCAAAATCACATAGCTAATAATTAGCAGAGGAAGATGTGAGGCCACATCTACTTTCTTATCTTTTTTTTTTTTTTTTTTTTTTTTTTTTGAGATGGAGTTTCGCTCTTGTTTCCCAGGCTGGAGTGCAATGGCCCGATCTCGGCTCACCGCAACCTCCGCCTCCTGGGTTCAAGCAATTCTCCTGCCTCAGCCTCCCAAGTAGCTGGGACTACAGGCGTGCACCACCATGCCCAGCTAATTTTTGCATTTTTAGTAGAGACAGGGTTTCACCATGTTGACCAGGATGGTCTCGATCTCTTGACCTCGTGATCCACCTGCCTCGGCCTCCCAAAGTGCTGGGGTTATAGGCGTAAGCCACCGTGCCCGGCCTACTTTCTTTTTATTATATTGCTTTGCTCCTTCTCCAAGGAGAATTAGGTGCGTAATTCTTTCTCAGTACTGAAATCTTGAGATGCAAATTGCCAAGCAAGTGAATAGTGAATGCATTTATGGGGGTGGGGAAGAAATAAAGCCATAGATAATTAAAATCTAAATGAAAATGATGCTCCGATATTGGTTAACAGTGAAGAATATACCTGCGTGGAAACTGCCTGGACCATGCCTAGTTTACCTCCAATCTCAGGTGGAAATAAAGATGGGATCAATACTCAAAAGAAATCCAGTGCAGCCGCAGAGTTCTAATTCTATATACAGCCACAGTCTAGCTCCTCACTAAATGTAGAATGGTCTGACTTTCCCTACTGAGATCAAGAGGCTACCTAGTTAATCTGAGCTGTACGTTGTTCTCTTAGACAGTTGACCAACTACTGAGCTTTAGCAATGAGCAAGTCATCCATTCAAGGAAAACATCTCCTGGTGTTAAATCTATGTGCATACCATAGCATAATGGAACCAAGCCTGAGGTACTTAAGAGAATGATTGGGTATTTAGAGAGAAATAATAAAGATGATAAGAGAATAATTTCCAACCATCCAAGGAATGAATCAGGGGGATTAAATATAATTCATTGGTATTACCTGCACAGTAATCCTTGACTGGCACAGTGCAGGTTAAAAAGCACAAAGACTGCCTCTCAAATGGCCATTTTTATTGACATATCTGAGCCATCTTTTCTAAAGAGAATTTATTTGGTTTATAACCCTTCTTTAGCCAACACAGCATCCCATTTTTCACATATAATAGTAGAGATAATGCAAACAGCAATCAATCAAGTGCTTGAATGAGAGTCAAACCAAGGGTAGATCATCAGAGTGCTATTTATTAACACGTTTTCATTTTATTTACATTGAGAAGCTCTTTGGGCTGTGTTACTTGACAAAATCCTTCACTCTCTTACCTTAACCCATCCCTACATTCTGTACAGTTATGGAATTCAGTACATGTCTTGCAGTTTTCACTGCACTTCCGGCAAAGATTTTTCTCTGTTTAAAAAAAAAAGGGAGAAAGTTATAAATCAACGGTCAATTGGATTCCGTAAAAGCATTAGAGATGTTCTAATGCTTGCTAACGTATGCTACAGTACCCATAGCCTTGAGTAGAAAATTGCAGGAGGAGCCCCAGAATCGCTATTTATTATCATTTCTCAGCAAACCAAGTACAGACAGGAACTGGAATGCTGGAAAACACCTTAGACTTCTCTGCCATTTTGCAGACAAGAGAATGATGCCCTCGCTAATTCTTAGTTGAATAGTTTATCGGCCTTTCTTCTTCTTCTTCTTCCCAGTCTCTTTCCCCAGCATGGTTTCCTAACTTCCAACAATGCAAATGCCACTCATGAAGCTGGGACATCATCACTATATAGGGATTGAAAGGCAATGCCTGAGGCGGAGGAATGGGAATGTATACCCCCATGCTCATAGCTTTTAGGACTACTCAGTTGAGCTGAACTAGAGAAGGGAATCTACATTTATGACGGCAAGGTAAGGAGTGCTTATTTCTTACACTGTTTATTTATTTTAAACATTTAGTGTCTTGTGCTTTATAGCAAGACACTAAAATAACTATACGTTACAATTCAAATAATATCTATATTCTGGAGAACAGAAATGTAATATTTGTACAAACATACTGTGAATATCTGCTTTCCTAGTTAATACCAGGTCTATATTGAAAAAAATTGGCAAATTTATCGTTGTTTTGTGGAGGAAAATAGTGACTTGGCATATTAAGGAAGGCCTTCTACCTTAGACAAAATTTTGCTGAAGTCTTGGTACCTGTTCTGATATGCAGGTGGATTATATCCATGTGAATGTGTAGAACTGAATGAAGCTTTCTTCATGGGCTTCCATCTGCTTTTTAAATGTTCACGTTCTTCAGGGTTCCACAGAGAAACACAGCCTAGCGGATCCCTGCAAGAACTTGCTGGATCAAGTCTGAACCTCCAAGCATGAAATATGAAGCCCTTACAATCTTAACAACAGCCATCACATGGTCTCCCTCACTGTCTCATGGAGAATGCTGCACATGCATAGAATCTTAACTCAGATGACCTAGATTTGCATTCTGCTTTTAGCACCTCCAGTGGGGCAAGTTCAGGGTCTCTGTTGTCTTGCTCATTAAATGGAGATTACCTACCTTTCCAGTTGTCTTGAGAAGTTAAATAATTATTCAAGAGAGCTATATAAACTATTAAGCACTGTAAATCTGTTGGCAGTAATTACTAGTTATGATCATATGTGATCATGTACATAAATGGACTCATTAGAGGAGAAAACTATAACATAAGGCAATTATATGGAGATACACAAACCACTTGTATCAACACTTCATGGTAGCCGAAGTCATAGTTTGAACACCTTAATTATCCACCTTCTAGGCTCTGAAAACAACTGACTCAATTACCTTGGTTCCGTCATACAACATTCCAGAATAAAATTTCTTTTCCAAGGCTCAGCCTTCTTGATAGAATTTTGACTTTTTTTCCCCACAAGGAATACTGCATATTTCTGTGGACTCTTTATGCCCCCTTCTCTCTTCCAGTGTCTCCTTTCTCCCTCAAGACAGACAAAGTTCATGTTCTAAGTTTTGGGGCAAGCAAGAACCAGAGCGGAGTCCCCACCCACTGCCCTAAAGGGTAAGTTGAGAGACCTTCTCTGCCTCACAGAGAAGTGCACTTTGAAACCAGAGAGAATTTCACTTCTTAAGAAGCAAGAGTATTCACTTAAGATTTCTTGTCTGATTTTATGTTAAACAACTCTTGTTCCTTTAAACTTGAGTTTTCTTTTTTCTCCCCCTTAGGTTGTACAAAAACATGAAATTTCAGTGCCATTATATACCATGGTATGATTTCCTTGTTAAGAGCATTATCCAAAGCTCAGAAATAAAGTAAAAGATAACTGCAGTCCTGTTCAGAACCACACCAGAGCACTGTCCAATAGGTTTACCTTAAGACTATTTAATTCTCTAGGGGAATATACCTTCCTCTGTTTCCTAATGATGGCTGATGAGGGCCCAAACTGTGTTAACACACAGATGTTGTTAGGTAAAGTTGCAAGATACTTCTATTCATTAGAACAAACAAACGCTCCCCCAAATTTTACACGTATTGCCATGTAGAAAATTATTGAATTACTTCATTTTGTTTCCAACTGTGCCTTTCCTGGTGGACTGCAGCACCTGATCACCTTTCAGCCCTGTTTGTCACCTTGCAAGTTCCCTCATTAGTGTGTTAAGCAAGTCTTTGACAAATGTTCATTCCACTCTTAAAGTCATATTTTGATATCATACAGGCCTGGTGTCTATTTGGTGAGTGCAGAAAAAGGGGCTTCAATGTTGTCCTTCGCAAATCTGCTTGTAAGGTTGGCCCATGGCTGGCACATCTGGGAACCTGAATTTTGGTAGGGTTCCCACTCCCCTGAAAACAACGGCTCACTTTGTCTAAACTGTTTGTATAAACAATACGGTTTATGGTGAACACCTATTTTCCTTTGAAGAGTCTGGAATTTTGGTATGTGTCAGGTCTGACCAGCCCCCAGTGACAACTCTCGGCTCCAAGTCTCTAATGAGGTTCCCTGGTAGACAATATTTCATGCATGTTGTCACAAATTGTTGCAAGGGGAACTGGGCAAATCCTGTGTGGCTGAACTTTGTCATATATGCCTTTTCCCTTTGATGATATTTTGCTGTAATATCTCTTATCTGAGTTTGTGAGCACGACTATATCCTGAGCCTTGTAAATATTCCCAGCAAGTCACTGAATCTAGGGGTAGTGTTCAGGATACTCTGACAAAGTTACAGGCATTTTTACATAAAGCTTCTAAAGGGTTCTCTTAAAATAAATAAGCTAGATCCTGTTTGTTATGAAGCATAAGTCCAGATTTCACAAAGAGGACTATCCCTTCCGAGGTCACTGAAATGAAAACCCCACATTTCTTTGCTAAAACCCAAATGTTTGATGTGAACTTACTGGTGTCCTGATATGACCCATCAGGGCAGTGAGTAACACAGCTGTTGATTTCCTCATTCAGAAAGTATCCATATTTGCAGGACAGGCACTGGTCACCATGGCTCCCAAAGCAGGACTCACAGTTGGGGGCACACTTCCTGCAGCGCTTCTTGTCGGCATGGTAGTGGCCAGGGGGGCAGCTGGAGACACAGATCCTGCATTGTGAAGCAAGAAGAAAGAGGGCAGCATCACGAGCAAACCAGTCCTCAGCATTCTCTTGGAGGTGCTGAGCAAATGGCTGAGCTCAGCCTCCAAATCACTCCTAAACCAGGATGCCAACACCACATCCATTTTGTTTGTTAAATTTCTTTCGGCACAGGGTGCTGAAACAGCAATGCAGTTACCTAATACCAAGTTCACCAAAGACTTGTCAAACCAGTTCCTGGTTTGCACCTAGTTCTTAAAAAGGGACGATGGTTACAAAGAGGAAGGTTATGGTGGTGAATCAGAGCAAAAGCATGTGGGAACCACCACTTTATTCAAAAAGGTCCCTTTAATAATGTGTGACTTCTATTTTCGTGTGTTGTCATATGGACCCTGTATGTGCACGTTTGGTGGTTGTAGGCTGTTGTCTAAACTAATATAAATTTATGTTGTGTATGGAAACACTCAAAAACTTCCTTATTTGCCTGTAACGGAAGGACAGAGCTTTATTTATCCATTCAGCAAATATTTACTGTGTACCAACTAAATGTCAGGCATTTTGCTAAGTGCAGGAGATAGCAGAGGCTGTGAGATAGCCAAAGTCCTCCTTTCTCTTGAAGAATTTAAATTCCAGCTGACTTAACACGTCTGGGTCTGTCTGTGGGACTGGAATACGGAGGAACCATGGGGCAGCTTCACTTAGTGAGTTTCTTCCTGCAGGAGGAGGGAGAAGAGGGGCAGGGCTGTGGGAGACTAGGCAACGGCATGATGAACTCTGATTGGGGCACTTCGGATTCCTTGGCGCTGCCCAAGGAAACACATCTGCACAGCTCAAGCAGACACCAGGGGCTCAGAAACAGAGTGTACCTCAGTATCCAGGGCAGAAGAGTGAGATCAAGCAGGACCAACGCCTTTGCCACACTGATGGCCTACGTGCTGGGGAAGGTGGAAAAGCATCAGTTTTGCCTGTGCACTGGCATCTTTGTGAAGCCATGGCATCAAATATCAGTGGGGTGGAAAGGACACAACACTTGTGTGAGATGGGAGGAATACGTTCAAGAGATCTATTGTCATCATGACAATAGGGTTAATAACAATTGATTGTATACTTGAAAATTGTCACCGGAGTAGTGTTTAAGTGTTCTGGCCACAAAAAAAAGTATGTGAGCTAATGCATTTGTTAAATAGCTTGATTTAGTTGTTCTAAAACGTACATACATAAATATGTTGTGCATTATAAATATAGGCATTTTTTCCTTGCCAATGAAAAGAAAAAAAAAAGGTCTGGAGGGGCATGTGCTTAGCTGTTCCCTCCACACTCCTCCAAACGTGAGAGAAGTCATTGGCAGTTTCACAACGTCCATGCACATTTTGTGTTTTGTAACTCAACATAGTTTTCACCATTCTAATGACACAGGGAGGCAGTCAGCCTGCACGGCAGCCTCTTTTGTATGCTTAGTTCTGGTGGGAGAATAGTGGAAGATGCCAGCAGCCTGCACGCACCCCATGGTATTAGCCGTGCAGGAACTCCTACGATGCCTGGGACATGCTGTGGGGATGTGACTTGGCCCCTCTCTTACCTGGTATTGTTTTTCAGCTTGTAGTAGTAGTGCAAACAGTCACTGCAGTGGTCTGGTCCTGGTCCGTCACAGCCAACCTCACTGCACTCAGGGTCGCAGGGACCTTTCCAAAAGATATTAGAACAATATTTGGAAAAATGATTTTAGAGCAGGTCAGCTGTACCTTGAATTTGGTATAAGACTTTCTTTTTTTCTTATGCAGCGAGTTTAAGACAGAGGAAGAATGGTCAATGTGACTTTAGATGAACTCTTGACTTTTTTTGACTTTTGATTCTTAGGCAACCTCAATTGCCTAGGTATAAAGAATGTAAATCCTAGTCATGGCCCGGTCTTCACAGCACATATGGCTGCCTTGTGGGAGAGAAACATTTCAGAATTCAAATGAACTGTAGCAACTGAAAAAAAACAACTGCAATTAACTGTGTGTAATAATAAAAATACTGGGTTTGCAGAAAAGTGAGAAGTTGTTAGCAAAAAAGAAAAAATGTTATTATTTAATGCCTGGACCAAATGACCATCTCATTTAAGGTCATTAAAGCTACTGAATACCTCTGAAATACTGTGGTCGGAAAGAATCATTATGGCACCAGGCACAAGCTTATCAGCTTCCAGTCTCAGACACATCCTTTGTGTAGGATACAATTTTAAATCTATTATCTGAAATAATAGATTTAAAATTGTATCCTACACAAAGGCCAATGAGCAATTCAACAAAAGAAAATGACATATAAATTTAAAAAATGCAAGCAAGCTTAAAAAATTCCTGACCTGGGCTGAAAGTTCCCAATCTCTCTTATTACATTTTCTTTGGTATAGAACTGGAGAGAATACACAGTAAGAAAAAAAAATGCCAGAAAGATGGAGCTATTTTGTGATTGATGAAAAATTTTCTAATTATATGGCCTAGTTATAGAAGTTTTTAATTCTCTTCTTTGTTCTCCATATTCTGGAATATTTAGTCTCATAATCTGCAAACTCTTTCCCACTGAAAATTCATATTTTAACTAGCAATAAATATATTGAATGAAATGTACCAATAGTAAGTCAAGGGTAGTAGAAATGTTTTGAACTCTGCTTATTTTAACCAAAAAGGCTTCCTGTTATACCTTAGTTTCCTCGAGTCAATATGGGATTATGTTTCATAATTACTGAATCACAGAAACATAAAATGTTAGAACTGGGATGGAATAACAGAGAAAAATCTACAGTCAAATATCCTAATTTTACTGATGAGGAAACTGATTTTCCCAGAATTCCAGTGGCTTGCCCAGTATCACATGGTGAGGAGAGGGGATCATCGGGTCCTGACACCTAGGTAAAAGCTTCCTGCTTAGAGGTAGCAAATCACGTACTGGGGCGACTTCTCCAGCTGAATGGAAATAAGTCATTTCAAAATGCTGCAGCCTTGAATATACTTCTGATTAACTGCAAGTGTCATCTGACAACCTGCTTATTTCTATTTTCCCCACAGCTTCAAATTGATCTGTAAATTCCATAGCTACTGAAACTTGGGACGTTTTAGCCGTCTGCCATTGTACACCAGAGGAGTGGTGTCTCTGCTGCCTATGGACTGAAGTTCAGCCAGCTGTGATCTCATAGTCCCTGGGATCCAATGAAGCGGTACAGGTATCTGGTTATGATAACGCCATCTGTGCCTCTAATCTGGCAGACTTCTAAATGAAGGTGAAAAATCACAGCTCCAAAGGAAAGGAGTCATGGGTGGCCCTAAATTTTCACCAGATGACTTCTAGAATAAAAAAAAATTCCAAACATTTATTGCTGATATTTGCCAAAAATGCTCTGCATGGCAGGTTTACATGCTATGCTGATTCTTTTATCATCGTAAACTGTCCCAGATGCAGTTTAGCATTGTAGGTTGCAGGATAATCATGAAATCATTGTCTTGGTTCTCTCATAAGTGCCAATGTTGATGTTTTAGAGATCTAATCAGAAACACTGCAAGATGTATAACTTCTGAATCTCAACATTCCAAAATTTGAATGGGAAACATTACCAAAATATGAATAAAGAGTAACAGCTTACTATTACACTCTGTTTTTTGGATATACTTTCTCCTATCAGAGAGAGAAGACAAAATGGTTTGCTAGTTAAAATATAAATAGTAATGCTATAGCCTCACAGCAAAATATCAAACAATCTAGCTCTGATTAGCTCAACTGGTCTCCATTTCAAGTGTGTTTATTGATTCTAGGATGCTATCTGTTTAGAATAAAAGTAACTACATGTATATTCACCCTGTTTGGGCTGGGCACAGTGGCTCATGCCTGTAATCCCAGCACCTTGGGAGGCTGAGGCGGGTGGATCACTTGAGGTCAGGAGTTTGAGATTAGCCTGGCCAACATGGCAAAACCCCATCTCTACTAAAAATACAAAAATTAGCAGGACGTGGTGATGCACACCTGTAATCTCAGCTACTCGGGAGGCTGAGGCATGAGAACTGCTTGAACCCACGAGGTGGAGGTTGCAGTGAGCTGACATGGTGCCATTGCACTCCAGCCTGGGTGACAGAGCAAGACTCCGTCTCAAAAAAAGAAAAACAACTTTGTTCAGGTGGTTAATGAAGTACTTTTTAGTATTTAGAGGAAAATCTCAACTGAAATAAAAAATAATTCTCATCTAACGATACATTAAACTTGTATTTGTAAATAGGTTTTTTTTTTGGAGACAGAGTCTTGCTCTGTTGCCCAGGCTGGAGTGAAGTGGTGCTATCCTGGCTCACTACGACTTCCACCTCCTGGGTTCAAGTGATTCTTGTGCCTCAGCCTCTGCAGTAGCTGGGATTGCAGGTGCATGCCACCATGCCCAGCTAATTCTTTTTTGGTATTTTTAGTAGAGATGAGGTTTCATCATGTTGCCTAGGCTGGTCTCAAACTCCTGAGCTCAGACTATCCACCCACCTCAGCTTCCCAAAGTGCTGGGATTACGGGCTTGAGCCATGAGCCACTGTACCTGGCCTATAAGTAGTTCTTCATTAGAAGCAGCTTTGTCCATTATGTGTTATATGCCATACCTCAGAGGGACTGAATGCTCCTAGGAGTGTTAGCCAGTGCAACGAGACAGTAGTTAGAAATAATGATCAGAAGGACTATAAAACCAATTTGCAGATGATAAGGCTGTAGTACCTAAACCATCTGAGAAAACCCTATAAATTAATGACAGATTAAGCAAAGTGGCCATATATAAAATAAATACAACCAATAGATTTCCTATGCACCAGCATATACTAGCTAGAAATCATGGAATATTTTCCACTATAAGAGCAACAAGACCCAAAATACTTAGGTGTAACACTAACAAGAAGAAAACTACATAAAATTAAAATATTTCAGTAAAATGGGACATGATCTATGTTTTAAATGGAAAGATTGTATGTTGTAAAAACAATTCTTCCCAAGAGATTGCATATAAATTCAAATTACATTGCAATGAGACTTTTAAAAGGAGACTTAAAAATCATGCTAAAATTCATCTGGAAGGATAATAGGGCAATAATTGCTATGGAAATGGGAAGCAGATGTTCTACAAATATAAAAATACATCATGAAATGAAAATAAAACAGTGTGGGTGGTATTGGTTGGAGAATTATTAGATTGATGAACCAGAAAAGGTGGAACCAGAAAAAATGTTGGGCTAAGAACTTACTATATTGTTATAAAGGAAGCATCCTAAACTACTAAAAAAAGAAGGGATAGTTACTCAGTCAATGATCTTAGTCTGTTTGGAAAATAAAGACAGAGCTTCAGCTGACACTATATGTCATAAACCAAAATGAGTTCCAGATGAATTAATGGCCAAATGTAAAAAAATAAGAAATTACCAAACAAATATGCAGCAGACATTAAAGGATAAAACTTCAGCAAAAAATCATAGTGTTACATCTGAGACCATAAACCCCAACCTCTGCAAGTTTTTTTTTTTTTCTGTCGAAACAACACAAAGCAAAACACAACTTACATTCTCAGTGATAAGTGAGAATGTTTTCAGCAAATATGAAACAATGTGAGAGACAATAACATACAGAGTGTTCACAAGTAGATAAGAGGATTACTGCACCTTGAATAGAAAAATGGGTAAAAGACAGTTGTATTTAATTCAGAGAACTGCAGAGGAAAAATGTTTAGATTGACAAGCAATCAAAGCTATAATATTTTAAAAACATTCACCTCTTTGTTTTTTACTTTCCTTTTTTCTTTAGTTTTTTTTCTGTTGGCAGAAATGAGTGTGACAAACAGTCACATAGCTGGTCACAGTGTAGACTGGTACATCTTGTCTGGATAGCAAGTGACAAAATGTTTCCAAGCCCTAAAACTGATTATCCTCTTTGATGCAATAAGTCTCAAAACAGAACTCTATTCTAAAGAAATAATGAAGATATAGACAAAGATTGATAAATAATGATGTTTATCCAAACCGTGTTTAAAATAGTGTAATACTCCGTAAGCGAGCTCAGTGTCCCAGATTATGGATTAACTATATTAGAGTATAAATAATCACAGTATGGGCTATTAGCTTTGTAATATGGATATTTGAATATATGAGTGCACTGATATATACAAGTATTTAAGGGGATAAAAATAAGATGGAAGAAAATATGTCATAACGTGGTATATTATTCTGTTCTATTTTGTTCTATTCTCCCATTCCATTCCATTCCATTCTCGCATATGGTGGAATGACGCATGAGCTTTCTCTCTTTAGGCTGTGTCCCGCTGGAAGCTAGCTCACCTGCATAATCCTCTGTGCCATAGTCATCTGTGGGGTCTTCAACTCGGCTATAGCGGAAGCGTTCCACTTTAGGAAACTCATTGGTTGGCGAATATGGCTGCACGGAGGTGCCATAGAGGACCAAAGACCATTCTTTCAATTTACCTTGAGAAATAAAAAAAAAATCACAGCATGACCAAATCTTTACTAGCTTTGTAATATCTTTAAGTCCTTCTCACTCAAGAAAAAGCAACAGAACCAGGGGAAGCAGATAGGTATGAATCCCCACATCAAACACAGAGCTTGAAATGCCTATTTCTCACCCTTTGCAAAATTAACTATTTAACAATTCATGTACCACATATTGAATGAGCACCTACTATACAGGAGGGGCCTTGATTTAATCAGCATTTATAGGAAGACTGAGGAACAAACACACTTCAGATTGCTAGATCAAAGGCTGAATTTCAAATTACCAATATTTAAGAGAATCCCAGGATTTAATAAGAAGGCTTTGCTTTTCTAGGTATAAAAGTCTTGTTTGAGCTTTAAAAAATTTTTGGCATTATCTGACTTGTTAATAAGGAGACAGAACAACTCTTTGTTCTCCCTAATTCCTGATATCAGTCATTCAATAATAAGAATACATCGCTACACTAGTTTATAGTCCTGTGCTGTCTAATATGATGGCTATTACACATTTGATTATTTAATGTTAACTAGAATTAAGAAAAATTTTGAGATTCAGCTTCTCCATGACACTGACCATATTTCCAGTGCTCAATAGATTTATGTGGCCTGTGGCCACCCTACTGGAGGGCATTTCCACCATTGCAGAATGTTCTATCGGACAATGTACAAAATATATATTTTTTTATCTTGTTCTGTTTCCCAGGCTGGAGCGCAATGGTGGACTCTTGGCTCACTGCAACCTCTGCCTCCCAGGTTCAAGCGATTCTCCTGTTTCAGCCTCCCAAGTAGCTGGGATTATAGGCGCCCACCACCACACTTGGCTAATTTTTGTATTTTTTAGTAGACACAAGGTTTCACCATGTTGGTCAGGCTGGTCTCGAACTCCTGACCTCAGGTGATCCACCTGCCTCAGCCTCTCAAAGTGCTGGGATCATAGGTGTGAGCCACCATGCCTAGCCCAAAACAGCATTTTCTGGTCAAGAACGCCTGGATACCTGAGGCCAGTGTTTCACCTTCTATGAATTTGGATCACTCACAAGGAGCATTTTGTTTTACTTTAGTTCTTGTTAACTTATTTCTTTGCTTCATAAAATTTGTGTTCAATGCAAAAAGTTAAAAAAAAGGAAACATGCCTCTAGTTCATTAAAGTTAGTAAAACTGACCTCAAAAGCAATCAACTTTAAGCAGAACATAGGCATATGCTGGTAGGAAGGCAGGATGCTCCTCAGAACCCCTCTCAAATTGGCTTAATGCACGGAATCCAGGCAAGGTCAGAGGCTAGGGTCTGGGGCCAGCCCAGGGAGTAATGGATTTCAGCTATCAGTTTCCTTCATCTATCATCACCTACCATCACCATCAAATTGATGTTTGATGTTTTTAAGTGCTTACTATATGCTAAGCACTGGCCCACTTAAGTGGTTCATGAGTTTTATTCCATTCAATGTTCAAAACAACTCTAAGGTAGGTACTAAACATTCCCAATATATAGAAGAGGAAACAGAGGCACAGAGGTTGGTAACTTCCTCAAAGGCAGTAAGAGGACAGACTGATATTAAAACATACACCGAGTCCAAATCCTGTGTTTTTAAACCATATATAATATTGTCTCCTATTCATTTCTATGAGTTTAGGAGCCGGACCTTTAAAAATGAACACATTCTGTGATGCATGTATGTTTTTCTGACTTTCACATTGGACCAGTACAATTGGTTTATGTCTGGTTTGCCCTCTGCCAGCTTTTCTTTGTACTTATTTGTTAATGACCATGCTTTTCACAATCAGGGTGTTATTCAGGCCCAGCATTCTAAGTAGCATGCATTAGGCAGTGGCAAGAAG